TAGTGAGATGGAGGATCAATGTATAAAGTCGGAATCAGTTCTATCGGGATCCTTGCGAGGTAAGATCATCTGGATACGCTTCCGAATCATGTGGTTTCCAACTAGTCCATCCTGGAGAACTAACGCAGCGGTGACAAGTCTCTGAAACTAAGCGTTCTTAGAAAGGTCATCATTCCCTGCAAGTTTTGACTCAATAAAAACGGTTTTGACTCGATAAAAGTTTTTGTTTTAGAAATCAAATAAAAATGACTCGATAGAACCCAAGATGAAACCAAAAGATAATGAAAGTCGTTAGATAATGAGGAACTCCTCCCGAGACTTAAATCACACCGGTGTGAGTTTAAACTAGAAAGAGGCAAAATCAAATGGAAAAAAGTTAAGGGTGAAAGGATTTGCTTCGATGCAGTGCAGATTGGTTCAGGGATTATGATCGATCGAACAGGGATTGTGATCGATCGATCACGAGGCTGCTGGAATTTGATGGACTTTCATTTTTCAAAGTGTTTGATCGAACATCAAGGGGTTCGATCGATTACTATGTGTTACGAGCCAAACATTGGTTTTCTTTTCCTGAAACACTAGGTAGAATCATTAGATAGAAAATAAACTAAAATAAAATCATCCCAAAGTAGAAAAACATGCATAAGTACAGATATATTTGCCTCCCAGATTTACTTCACAAATGTGATAGTAGTCAACCGGGAGGGAAAATAAAAACGAGATAATAATTTGAAAAAAAATAAAAAGAGAGAGAGATAGAGCTACGATCAATAGTCCTCAGGGCGGATACTCTGATCGTTGCCATGGATCCTCCTAGCTCGTGGTAGACGCTCGTCGGTGAAAGGCTGTGAAGTGCTAGGATCTGCCTCCTCGAATCTACATCTTCGTGCTGGCTCCGCGTGATCTTCCTGAGTAGCTGACGCACTAAAACAAGTAGCTCTAAGTGGGATTTTAACCTTGGAGAGCGCATGCCAAATCATGTGCATCAAACCACTAGATCTCTTGTGGCTCTCAACCGTCCAACGACGGTAAGCAGCCTCGTTCGTAACTGGATTAAACTGGATTGATCACCTAGTTTATGATATTAGGGTTTTTAGCACACCAAAAGTGTTTGATTAAATGCTTGAAAGAACATGGATGAGCAAAAAATCCTTAGTCAACTAAAGTTGATGTTTT